ACAACTTTCATGACCATGACTATGCCTTATGACCTGTAGCATGACCGGTCATGAGGCCTCATGAGTGGTCATGAGGCAACATGACCAGGTCTATGACAGATAACCCCCCATATGACCACATCTAATCTACGCCTCATTTATATTCATGACACTATGACCAAGTCGTTCCCCAAGTGAGCATTGTGAAATCAGATCTTTGGATGTACGGTTCCAGTGAGCTCCTCTTCAGCTTGCTTGCTTTGGGAAAATTCCGGTGGTTTCCGAGGAAAACCCCCACAGTATCCACTTGGTCACTAAAACATTACCATCGGTAAAATCACTGCTTGCGGGGTAGGCAACTGTCCTTTGGTGATTGCTTTGGTAGTGAAAAGCGTTGCTATAGGTCGGCACCGTCTGTTCGTTATGTGCCGTAATTTTTCATATTAAGTCATCAAAATAGAGTAGTGCGGTACATAATTATTGGTGATGGTTATTTGATGTTATGATGCTTTTCAATTTTGGGTGTCTCACTCTATCCCTCGGTATCACATCTCATGTCCACTGGATTATTTTTGATCTCTTCCTTCTATTCTATTATACCGAAACGAAAGCGAATCAACAATGTGGCATTGTTAGTTGGCGGTTTAGGCACATGATGTTATGGCACCTACGGGATTTCAACTTGCACGATGATTGCCTCTGGTTTGATTTTTGTAATTGTCCTGGCAACGGGCTGCAACAACTGAACCCCAAACATGAAGATGCACCCATGCTGGGCATGCATGGCATGAGTGTGAGGTTGGACAATTGTGATTGTTGGAACGGACGGCTTCAATGCTCCTTCATTTGGCCTTACTATGGACAGCCCCACTTGAGCACACACCACATGCCTGGGTGTACACCACACCCTAGCCGTCAGTGAGGCGGCTATAACTGCCGCTAAGGGTAGAGGCCTTGCACCGCAGCCCTACTGTGTGGCTTCTTACTAAGCGGTACCTTGCTTGGTTGTGACGTGACACGCATTGCACCATGGCCGAGGCGGAGGTCATATTGTGGCATCCACATGGTATCCCTGAAGTGCTGCAAGTGATGAGGAGCATGTGAAGTACTACCCAGACTGTGAAGTAAAAACCCACACTGTATGTAAGCGGGGTGTATGTAGCCCTACTGCACAAAGCTAAACGGACAATACAGTCCTCTGTAAAGCAGCAGTATACCACACTATGAAAAGGGTAACACACCCCAAGCTAGGCTGTAGGCACCCTTGGTTGGTTGGTTGGTGCCCTTGGGTGCCGCACACCTTTTTTTTATACATGTGCGGCACCCTTGCTTGGTGCCTAGGAACTCTTGATTGGTTAGTTGGTGCCCTTGGTTGGCAACCTGCTTTGGTTTTTCAGCAAATGCCTCTGGAAACCCTGGAAGGACGGATGCAACACGACGAAGGAAAGGAGCAGCTGTAGAGCAGATCCAATATGCTGAATGGTGGATGTTTGTAGCAAGCTACATTTACCTTAGAATATCTTTAAGCTATTAAAGCTTAATCACAGTAACGGTACGGTCCCGTAGTTACGAACCATACTCGTTAACTGTACGAACTCACTTTCTGTTACGCTATCACAACCTAGCGTACGACACCAAGACTCCAGGAATGGAGATGGCGGCAGGTGAGGCCGCATTTAAGCCACCCAGGTGAAGTGCTTCGGCCAGACACTTCTGTATCACTATACTAGTGTTCAGGGTTCAAGACCTTGCTGTCACCGTTCTCTACGTATGTCTGCAAATCCCGACTTCCCTTGTCTCTTTTCGCGCCTAACGCTGGGTCGCCAATCGTGGACAAGACCTTCCTCTTCCGCTAATAAAACAGCTAAGGTAAGAGACGGCTCTTACAGTGTTCTGTTTCTTATGAAATGGACGATAGAAACTTTTAACCCATGTGTGAGTGGCTTTACACAATGGATCGGACTGACTCGCTGGTGCGGTCGTCAAAAGGCCTTCCTGGTTTCTAAGCCTTTTAAATCGTACTAAACATCTTAAGGGGCATCAGCAGTACGGTGCTATACCAAAGCAGCTGCATTTCGTACCCTCGGACTGCGTACATCGCCAGGTCATCCTGCTGAGCTCCTCTACCTCTCCCCCTTGATGAGGTGTTGTCTCCTGTGCTCCCGTCCTTGATCTTATCCTGTCCTGACTAAGCATACATTTTGCACTCCACGATATTCCTCTGAAACCTAAAAGATGCCTTGCTCATCCAAAGACGTTCCTGCCCTGTCATGTCTTCAGCAGTTTCCCTTCCTTGCTTCCCCTCGCTCCCCAACAACAACCAGCTCTGGAACCCCAGCAGCTATCCGGAGCAGCTACCGCCCGAAGTCCTGACCCAACGGGCGCCAGCCCCAACCCAGCCAACAAGTACCAAAGCCTCCAGCAAGGCCCCAAACAACCTCCAACAACTGCCTCACGTGACGTCCCAAGATACCTCCGCCGCCGCAAACTTCACGGCGTCGTGGCTTGGCTGCTCCTGGTGGGATCCGGTCCTTTGTCATTCTTATGACTTTTGACTTCTAAATCCGCACCTCAGCTCCTCGCTTTAATTGCAATTTCTAAAGCTGAACACGAAACGGCATCTCTTCAAAGTATGCCGATTCCAGTTCGTAAAAGGCGCGTAGATTACGCGGGTCCGGGTAAATCTCGTCCTCGCAGCCCATGCCTGCAGGACAACATGACAAATGATTTGTAATATATCTTCTGTTTGAACCTGAACATACTAAAAAAATAATTCTACGGTGGCCCGAATACAACGGATAACGCCTCAGTGGCGTTACAGTAGGGATGTTGCACAGGAAACGAAATCAGGAATCGGCAGATTGGTTGTGGAAGTCATGGAAAGTCGATGATTCCAAGAACGTTCCTTTTCTAATCAGCATGTTATTACTGGTTGAGTCCAAACGAGGGGCAAAAAAGACAACCTACATGGTGGCTGACCTTGGCTTGCAACGTCGCAGGCATAACTGGCAAAAGGCTCCTGCCGCGCGATACCGTTGTACGAGCTCCCATAATCACACAAGGGTCACCCACCTAGCGTCGCCATCTCCGCCAATTGCTGTACGACAGCAGCCAGGTCCGCCTCATCGGCGTCGTCGTCCTCCCCGGCGCTCCCGTCATCCCAATCATCCCCGCCGTACTCGTCATCATACTCGCTGTTGTCGAACGCGCCGCCATCGACGCCCTGCAGCTCTGCATCGGCCTCGCTAAGGTGCGCCCCGTTTGTCGTTGTACGGCGTTGTACGGCGTTGTGGTCCGTAATGCCGACGTCACCGTCCCCGCCACCGCCGCCGCCATCGTCACGATCATCGCTGCCGTCGCTGTCGCCATTGTCCAGCCCAACCCCGTCTCCAGCAGCGCTTCCCGCGGCAGCAGTAGCTACTGCGGCGATACTGCTGCCGCTGCCCCCCCGAGCAGTGCGGCGAGCATCACCCGCCGGCCGCCGCCACACGGTGGTGGCGACAGCGGCGGTAGCGGCGGAGATGGCGTCCTGCCGCATCCGCCGCCGTACCAGTGCCGTACCGGCTCCTCGGTAGGTTCCCCTGCAAACCATATAATACTTGTCAACGTCAACATCAATAACAGAAAGACAACCGGAATGAAAGCAAAAGCTGAATAAAACCATATCATATCTAAGTGCAGGTAAAGCCGTACGACTAGGTGGGTTGAAAGCTGTGCATATTTCAAACCAAGACAAATAAACGCAGAACCGTGTGTAGCAAGACGGTGTAAATCCCGCATTTCTCGCCTCACAAGCCAACCCGAGTTGTATTTTTTGGAGGGCTTTGGTTTTTATTAAAACCCTAAAGACCCCTTAGGTTTTAATTCTCGCGTGAGGCAAACCTGTTACAGCCCCTACATCTCCAGGAGGTCTCGGAGCAATACCAGGGTCAAAACGCTGCTGTCAACGCGCTTTGGAGGCGGGAAGGGAGAATAGTACTACTCTGTGCTACTGTCGCAAAAAAAAACCGCCGCCGCCGCCGCCGCCGCCAACGCTGCTACCGCTATGTCGGCGGCACTGCGCGGAGTGCGCCGCAGCGAGGCATGTGTGTACGTCATGTTGTGCGTCCACATGCCGCGTAACGCCAAGCGCCCACGCCCACGCGCACACACGCGATCCGCCGCAGGAAAAAACTTTTATACTCGCACACCACAGCAAGATGCGAAAAGCGCACGAGCGCTGCTGCTGCTGCCGTAACCGTCTGTTTAGGCTTTGCGCATCCGCGGCCGCTGCTGACGCTGCCATGGCTACCGTAGCCAGCCACCGGCACCAACAGAGCTATGATGGGAGGAGGAGCAACAGCAGCAATCATGACGTCGAAAGAGACACAGTGGCATCACTCAAAACCGTGCCCCCGGTGATGCATGCGGCAAAGCAGGACATTCCTCCCACACACAACCAAAATTAACACTGAAGGCGCCCCAGGGCTCTCGTCCCTTCCGTCACTTGGCTCCCTACACCTCCCCCCACCACACCACCACTACCGCCTCTGACCACGTCTTGGCTACCTCTTTACCCCACCTCCTTGACGCTGACGAGCAGCGGGGAGAGCAGCAGCAGCAGCAGCAGCAGCAGCAGCAGCAGCAGCAACAGCAGCAGCAGCAGCAGGAGGCGGAAAGACGTTTCTTCTGCCGTGCCCGGTAACGCGAGCTGCCGCCCCCACCTCCCCACATATGCTTCAAAGCCGCAGGTAAGGCGCAGTAATGGCGATGGTGTGCAAAGAGCAGGAGCTTCAGGGGCCGCGCCAGGGCGCGGGAAACCCTTTCTCAGGAAGAGCGTCAAGAAGACCCGTCTCATGCCGCACGGGCTCCTCCTGCCCGCGGCTGTCCCGCCCACCCTGAACACTGCCTTCCTCGGCCCACTCGGCCACCCCCCGCAGGCCCCCTTCCCTCTCTCTCTCTCTTCCCCCCTCTCCACATCACGCAATGCACTCCGATGGAAGACCAGTGCAGAGGAGTGTGTTGTCTTTTGCTGTGCGGACCCCGGCTGCCGTAGTCTGTGTGC